TAAAACGGATCGCGTGTCGAATTATGTTTGTAGCCATTTTCATGTAATATATATATTTATATAAAAACAATTTTATTTTCTCTTAAAAAAAAAAAGGTATAATAATAACGACAACGATGATGGTATATTATGAAAAAAACTGTAAACCGCCAAACCGATATACACATAGAAGACGACGGTGACTACGGGTTTGGGCTGAGACGACCGAGGAAAGGGGTGAAAATTAAACAGTACCTATAACCTGGTAATATATATATATATATATACATTTATGTATATAATTATATTCTTGTGCACATTGCACACACACACACATTTATTAAGCCACCGCTAACGAGGTAATCGCGTGCACTGCCGTTAGGATATATATGGGTTGTGTTGTTGTTGTTTTTTTTTTTTGACAAAAAAGACAGACACGGACGGTGTATAACGATAATCTGATTATTGGCCGCGAGAAATTAAAATTAGAAGAAAAAAAATAATAAAAACAAAGTTTTTACAGGCAATAAAAATATGTTCATTTAACCTAACCTAATCGAGAGGCCCCTCCCCCCCCCCAGTGGTTTCTTTCCACTCACTAGTACCTACAGAAGTTTGATCTATCTTGGTTTTGTGTATGTCTAATACACATTGGAAATTCTTAATTTAAAGTAAAAAAAAAGCCATCATTTTAATGTGGTTTTTCCACAGCATTAATTTCGAGTTCAACATGTTGGTGTTATGTTTCAAGCACATAATATAAAGGCTCTTAAAAGTATTTTTTGTTTCGAAAAAAAAACCATTTTTTTTTTTGATATTTTAGAAAATTAAGAAGCAACAGTAAAATTTTCACCTGCCTAAACCTGCCGACATAGCTGGCTAATCATTAAATGAATTTAAATAGCGCTGCAATAAAATAAAGAAAATATTTTCAACAAACACAAACTACACTAAGGAAGATAGACAAATGTACAAAATCATATCGTTAAACATACAAATTGTGTACGCCGATATCACACATGACTTGTCAAAAAAAGGTTCTCCTTGTCCTCTCTTTTTATTTTCATCTACTATAACGGTGTTCCTGATCACAGCTCGATTGAAAACATAAGGTTTTTGTATTTTGTCCCATCAGAAGGATATACACCTATTATATCGTTTGCTGGTCTAATTCTTCCCAAGTTGTACATACCGCTTAATCCGCTCGAAACGCTTGTGTCGAGGTATTAATCAAAAATAATACCTAATTAGATAGGTACTATATTATATTATCTATACTGTGTGATTATCGTGGTCGGCGCAGCAATAGAAAGAATAATATCGATTTATTTTTTCATTCCAAACCGCACCTAATTAATACCGTGTTTATTTCAATTATAATAATATGCACCCGTTTTAACGCGATGTGGCCATTAGGTTGGGGAAGGAGATTATTTTTTTAATATTTTTGTGTTAATTAAAAAACCCTCAGTTTAAAAAAAAAATAATGAAAAACGGCAATAGGAAGCAGGACGTTTTGTTAACGAAACCGTTTAAAACACAATAATATGGCGTTTCATCGGTTAGGTTTATCGTCGACCACCGCAATTTTTTTTATAATTATTATTTATTTTTTTACTAGTAAAATAACGAGAACATAATACCGTCGCAAGGAAGCTAAAATTCCGTACGACTTTAGTGGTGATGTTCATTGTATAAAACGACCTTATTTTAAGGATAAAAAAAATTATACAAATAACAAAAAGTCATAAATCAAAGTCATAAAACACTCGGTATCGTATAATTGCAACGGTTAACGTACATTTATATAAATATAATTAAAAACCAGTTTTATCAATTGTTTAATGTGTTGTCAATTATTTTTAATTTAATAACAACAAAAACTATAGCGTTCAATTTGTTCATGTGTAATATAATAATTAAGTAATTTATTTGTAAAAGATGCAAAGTGAAAAAAAAAATCAAATTCCTTGTATCATAAATTGCACTGAATAATTAATAACCTAAACTATTATAATATTATCTCTCAAACGTATAGTAGGTATACAAGACGTGTACAACATTAAATGAAAATCAATAAAACATTTTTAAATACAATTTTTCTTGATAAACATGTAAAAATAAAAAAATAGTTCTAAGACTTACTGTGAAATATTTGATTTTATTATATTTTATAGGAATAAATAATAGTATTTATTTTATTCAACCTTAAAAGTTCAATTGACTTATTTAAATGCGTTATAAGAACAAGGAACAAGGAAGGAGTTATATTTGTATACCTAAGTGCTAAAGTAAAAAAAAAAAATATGTTATTGGTAATAACATAATATGCTAGAGCTATTGCTGTTTTTTTAGGATTGTTATACGTGGTATTTTTTTATGTGTTTAGAAGGGTAATATAAATCTTTGAAAAAAATTGCCTTTAATGGGTGTGTACTATTTTGAACTGACTCGACTTATCCCTATATATCTAACCCTCGGTTCATATTGTAATCAATTTTGTAAATTCAAAATTACCTTTTACGTTTTGTTTTTTAATTTTAATATTATTACTTTTGTCTACAGTCACCGCCAGATCGGGCAAAACCGAGAAATGGGTAGGATTAGTCGTTGCCAGATAACTTCTTGGCAGCTCACGTTTAAAAAATAATATATATAATTTACCATAATATTATATTGTATCGAAGTCGGCTTGGATATCGAAATGTTAATAATTTTTCTGTAATGCCGTCAGGCGACGTTAAGTCGAATCACTTACTGCGAGCATTAATACAATATATTATGTATATAATATAATATATATTGTATATGTGATTAGTGCCGACAGTCAGAAGCCGCTTCCACATTTACGCCCAGGCTATCGATTAACTTGTCAAAAAAACCGTCGAGAAGTTAACACACACACACACACACACGGTAGTAGGAAATTAAATGAATAAAAAAATATATATGTATAAAATAAAACACATTAAACGTTCGTGTATAGATATTATATTTTATATATGTGTATTGTGTGTGTATTGAAAAAAACTACATAGTCATTGGTCCATTTACACGAATCACTTATAAAATTATAATAATATATATGGTGGTAGGTACAAATTATATACATAAATAAGTATATTTATACAGTATATTATAATATAATATGTATAAACTTATCGAACCCGTTGCAGCGGCGGGTCGATAAAATAACATACATTATAATATTAATATAATAATAATACTAAAAAAAACTTGGTCGCACTCGATGGTGATTATTATTAATTCATTTCACGACCGCAAAGCGTGCAAGTGGCTACCGTCTGCACGGGTTTTGTGTTACCGGTAAATTATATTTTTTTTATTAATAAAATCTATATTAAAAAATAATATATACATAATAACCGTTTGGTCGGGAGCCCGGGTTTTTGTACAATAATGTTATGTTAATATAATATAGTGTTATTATAGTTATATTGTATATATTTTGAGATTCGTCAGAAGCCGGACAGACAGAGATAACCATCTCTTAATGCGATCCGGACCGGATTAAAAGGTTTTTTCCTTGGCATGGCAATTCGGACGTGTCGTGGGTGTGCGCTTAAGCCGTTTCGTAAGATAATATATAAAAAAATGTTGTACTTAAATTCGGTAAAAAAAAAAAAATAATAATAAACGAAGAATGTTTTCTATTAACCGTTTACACATTGCGGACGTTCGATATAACCTTAATGTTAATTATTATTATAATATTACACCTAAATATAGTAGGTATAGTGTCGATAAGTGACGGGTAGCCGGGCCGGGTTTTTTTTCTTTTTACCATTAACGTTAAAATATTTTAATAATATGTAGTGTAATAGTATTTAACCCGCATGGAGCTCGAGCAACGACGAATTACATTCATGTTTCTTGTCTACTTCTTACACACAGTAGCACGCATTAAATAAAAAAATCGAGTAAACATTTCTTTTTATTAACACACATATTATTATTGTAATATATTCAAACAAAACGGGTGTAACATTATACCGTGGCAAGAGGAGGGTCATTTGTATTCACTATACCGAGTGATCCACTTGGAATTTAACCAGGCGAAGGTGGAAAAAAAACTGTTTAGAATTTCACACTTTCCATACAAATACCTATGTTGCAGTTAAGCGAGTAAACAGATTTATATTTTTCGGTCCAAAAAAATAATAATATCATGTGACGGCTAACTGTTATAACGGTATTGTGTCGAATATTATAATTTCTAATAAATAATTTGAGAAATGTCTTAATTTAGGTATTTGTTTAAATCTCATCCAAGACGATGCGAGAGGTTGATCCGAAAATAGGCGTTGTTAGTTTGGGAGTTGATGGAGTTTAGAGTGGTCAGCAAGATGTTTATGAAATCATTAGATCACAGTGACCGATTGTACTTGTGTATAGGACGGAACAAAGCGAGAAATTTATGTAGTATTAAAAAAAACCTAATAAGGATTTGCAAATGTCCAAACTGAGCAAGATTTATGTCAGTTTAGTTGTCATCTTATTATATTTATTGTGTTGTTTCCCTGGGAAAAAAAATACAAACAAATTTTGTGACACTAGCTTTACCGAATAAATAGTAATTTTGACAAAAGATTGAGTTAAGTAACTTTAAAATTAAGTTAATCGTCACAAGTACCTACCTTTAAACTATTTGGTTGACGGTAATACTTTGTTGTAGGTACATAAATTCCCTTTTTCTGTGTTGTAATCTAATTTTGAAACATTTCAAATATTTTGTTGCTTTTTTAAAGTATTAGTCTCTTAATCTTTACTAAGTCGCATAGCAAACAAAATGTCAATAAATGTATAGAATTAAAAACTTATGTTGCCATTTGAAAAATATAAGTCCATACTTCTTTTACGTGCAAGGGATTGAAGGTAAAAATGTCCAATGTATTGAAAACCATAGGAAAATGGTGTATGAGTGTCTTACGTCAAATGGATCACCTGTATTGTGTTGGTTAGATAAGTTAATTAATTGTTGTTGTTATTCCATTTTTTAGGCGAAAACAGTTGTAACTCGAGCGACGCCGAACGGTCGAGGCCACCTCAGCGCGGGCCGCCGGAACAGCAAATGCGGGACGACGGACAGCAAAAACGACGGGCCAGCGACATGATGGACGACGGCAGCGGCGGCGGATGCGACAGCAGTGACGGCGAGCCGGACGACGAGCACATGTCCGGTGGCCGCGCGAGCGCCTCGCCGGCGGCCGCGGCGGGCGGCATGTCACCGCCGGACAAGAAGAAACACCGCCGGAACCGGACCACTTTCACCACTTATCAGCTGCACGAGTTGGAGAGGGCGTTCGAAAAGTCGCACTACCCGGACGTGTACAGCCGCGAAGAGCTAGCCATGAAGGTCAACTTACCGGAAGTCAGGGTCCAGGTAAGCGTCGCTATATTATCTTGTGCCACACGTCTTGCGCATAGTTTTTGTTGCTAGGAAATAACAGGAATAAAAGTAAAATTCGTTAGATTTTTTAGCTAAAGCGGGATATCTAGAAACATGATGTTGAATGTTTTTTGGGTATGTTAAATAATTTAAGTGACTGAGTACATTAATTGAGTAAACAGTCTAATAAGCGAGTAAATGAATTAATTAACAGTAAATAAATTGAGTAAACGAGCAAATAAATCTAGAAAAAACTAGTAAAAAAAAAGTGAGTAAACGAGAAAATAAATCCAGTTAACCAGTAAAATAAAGTGTGCGATAACTAATTAACTGAATATTCTGTATTAAGTGTCGGTAGACGATGGAATAAATTGTACACCACGAGTGCGCAGATGCAGTAATAGGTATATTATAATAATAATAATAATATGATACTTGAAACGTTAAGTAACCTTAAGATATCGCGTTACCCACTTTTAAACACTCCACGCCAAAGTATAATTGAGTAATTAAAATCGAACTGGCTCTAGTTGTAAATTACAATAGCATAATGAAGTGTATTTTGGTTTTCCTCGATCCAGATGTATAATATATGTGGTTAAAAAAATTACAATAACGTTGAACACAACCGATATTATACACATTATATTATAATTGTACAGTTGAAACCACACAAACGTAGAACACTGCCAAAGCAAAATCAAACATGTCAATAATAACAATTAATATACATTTTTTTCTCGTTGAGTATAAATCAATACGCACCGAGCAAGTTACACATACAATTTCGAATTGTATCTATTTAACTATTTACCGCTTGGATAATGTGATTTAGAGTGGTTTTTGAACTCCCAAAATCAATATAACATAATATTTAGTTAGCAACCGCTAAGTTAATAGTTAACAGAGTCTTATGTGTGTGTGTGTGGGTGTGCCATAGGGAAACAGCTCTTGGATGAAAATGTTAGCGACAACCCAATTGCCAGCGGGGGCGGTATTAGATAATTGGTAGGAAATGGATCTCAAGACGAACTCGGTTTAAATCGAGTTTATGTAGATTATACGGTCGAATTAAATGCGTTAAACTGTTATGATTAAACACAATTAGACGGTAATCCGGTGAACCTATAAATGCTACACACACACACATATACCTAAGTGAATTATTCACTCACGTGTGTGTATATGTATCGTTCTACTCCGTTTAAGAACGTTCCCGGTTATATTAAGTGTTGCAACTTGCCGCCCAAGTGGAGTCTGTATTTTCGATTCAATCGCATAATTTACAAAATATTATAATACACATTCTAACGTGCCTACATACTTCAATCAAAGGCCCTTTCACTTAGATCTGCGTTTACGAACAGTGTGTTTGATTACAGTATTATGTCAACGTTAATTATTTTAGAGAATAAATGAACGTTAAAAATCGGCCGTTAAATATTATTATCGATTAAGTTCAAAGTCGTTAAAACCAAATAGCGTTATTAAATATTATAATAACGCGATTTTTATTTATTTAATGAGTTTACTTTTGATAGACATTTTATTAGCGGTTCGTGACCAAACAGAAACGTTTAAGTTTTAGTTTGAAAAAATTACTACACTCGAAATGAGTCTTAGAAAAAAACATGAACAATTATTTCACTTTAAAATATATTTCAAATAAAGTTGTCATTATTTCTAATTAGTCGCTTTTGTTTCAGATAATTTTTAATTATAATTGATATTTTTCAGTGTATGATTATAATAATATAACTATTAATTACAATCAACATTATTAGTGGTAAAAATAACATAGGAGACAATTCTTTCGAAATAAAAAAAACAGATAATCAATTGAAACAAACACCCATTTTTTAATTATTATTTACACATAAATATTTGACTACAAGACGGTGTGGTTCCAAAATGTTGGAGCTATCATCAGTCATCATTAGGTATATCATTTCAATATATTTCGTCCATCTCTGTCGTGTATTTATATAGATTATGCAACTATATAACAGGAGCTGTTTCTAATGAGGTGTCGTTTCCGTGCTAGTGTGGGTGCTCTGCGGGCATTGCCGTGGTATTATTTATTTTGTTCTTCCGCAAAAGTAAAAGCGAATTGCCCGTCTATTAGCCGATATCTTTGTAATGTATAAGACGAGGGGCAGTGTGGGGCAAATTGCCGTTAATCGCATCACTTCGCGGAACGGTTAAAAGCGTTTTGCCGAGTATTATGTCAGTAGTATGTATGTGTGCGTTCTGGGGATACACCGGTCCGACGGTTCGGAGGTAGGAAAAAAAACAATCGCGTTTTCCACACCACCACGGTCGTTTAAATCCATTTATATGTGTGTTGTTTATATATATATATATATAGATGGATACGTTTTTCTCGGTTTGTCTCTGAGAACGCGGATATTATCCATATTATACTTACCCCCGACCCGGCGGTGCCGGGCACACTTGACTCGTTTCCCACGAAATGTTTTTGGGCGAGAACACTATTTGTTACACGCCATCATCCGGTTGACGGGAGCCGCAGCAAAGTGTAAGACGCGGAAGTATATTGCCTATGCACATTATAATACACAGTAGCTTTCAGCCGACCGCGTCCGATGATGGTTCGCCGATTATTATTATTATATTTTTTCCTCCGTTAGGTACTTACGCGACTAAAAGGTTTTCTTTTCTTCTATAAAATATGTCATTAAGTATCGCCGTATTATGCCGTTGCGTTTTATTATACAATAATAAAATTATATGCCCAATACGATTTTATAATATGAATTTGTTCGTCTTAAAAGCCTCGCGAAATTCCGTCTAGACTTGTTAGACGGATAGTCCAATTTTTATTTAAAACGTTTTATAACACGTTAATCGACAGCCTCTTTTTTAATTTTACGGAAATTCGATATAACGAGAAATTAGTTTTATTTGAATATTATAAAAAAAAAAACACACTTTAATTAACACCATACTATACTGTTGATGAACGTTTACAATTGAGCAAACTGGCTTCGTTATCTTATTACAAAAGCGGAAAAGCCATCTTGAAAATTTGAAACCAAACATGTTATCAACATATTTAGTCAACTTTTTTTTTTTGGTAGTTGAGCTTTCGTTTAAATTATAAGCGTTTTTAATTTCTGACACGGTTATCATGATGAATGTTTATTTTGAAAACAATTAATCGATATTTCAAGCATTCAAGACTCAATGAAAATAGCCAAAACCAGTGTTTGTTACAGTTAAGAGAAGTTAAATTTAGAAAACTTCACTTTTCAGACAAAATCCTATAAAGTCATAAATTCTTGCCAAAATCGTTTTATTTCATTTCTAATATTTTCAATTTGTCTTAAAAATAAAATAGTATATTATAAGGAGTTGTCAATATTGTCTATGCCTAGTATATTGTGCACAATCGGGATTTAGTCAAACCTAAAACAACAATACAAAAATTCTTGTACGCGTATTTTTGACAACTTTTTGTAGTAACTAGTATTAAACGTTTTTTTTTTACACATCGACTATATTATAATTATTTTAGTCTTTTATCATAGCCAATAAAGAGAAAATTGCGCAGTCGTTAACCGTCGTGTGAACAAATAACGATATTTGTTTGTTATTTCACTGAATTTATAATGACAAAATATAATATATTAAATTATTTTATTTAACCAGATCCTAGGCAGACTCTAGTTAGAGAAGTTCGGTGTAGATTATTTTTGGTGAATCTTGATACTTGGAACTTGGACTGTAATTATTAGTACAGTAATTAGGACTTTTAATTTTTGATATGACATCACTTAAAAACGTTGTCCTCTTTTGATTTCACATTTGCTGACAACCCCGGGTGGTTTTGTACGGTTTTAATAACGTAACGACTTTATATTTTATTATTATTTAATTTTCCGGTCCAATATCCTCGACCCGGAAATCGTCGACAAACTAATTAAATATTAGGTGTACATACAACAGGTTGCTGATGATTATTATACACCTATATAGAGCATGTGTCCAATTCGCCAAAAAAACCTGCACCGTCAACTATTCCAATATTATTATGTAGATACATTCGATTTAGAGTTAAATTCATCACTAGTTTTAGACAAAGAAACTGAAAAACTTATATAAGATAACTGATAATTCGTAAAAAAAAACTATCTATGTATAGGTACAAGATATTAGATTGTTCATCACAAATTTATCAAGTTAACAAAGTATAATTTTATTAAGATAAAAGAAAGATAAATTATATTTTTTACTGGATACACTTTAAATATGGTTTATAAAAAGTATGTTTTCTAAATACAACTTAAATAACCTAAATTAAAGTAATAACTAATATAAATAGTAGAGCACCCTGTAAGAACAATTCCATAATAAAAGAAGGAACTTTCCTTGCAATATAATCCTTTAAAGTAACTTTTGCGACTTATAAACCGTTATACAAAAGTCCATCAAAATTATAAATGGTGCCTATCCAACTAAAGTTTGTCTAAGATCGGGTTTTAATAGAATTATTTAATATTTTTATTAAAAAAAAAATGCAGTCAAACAATATAATCATAAACGTTATTTGTTTACACAACGATCAGCGACTGTACGGTGTTGCCTTTGTTGCTTATGATAAAAGATTAACAAAAGCTACAATAACTTAATCTAATATAATATCATTATAGCTAAAACTTTAAAATAAGAATTTTTTAGTTGTTTGTTTAGGTTTGATCAACACACCAATCGTGTACAATATACTATGCATAAACAATATTGGCATCCCTTATAAAAAAAAAACCATTTAATTTTTAACACAAATTGAAAAAATTAAAAATTATCTCTTAAACATAATCGGTTATGCGGGCCACCGTTCGGACGCAGTACTCTATAATTACTGTACCGGCAATAATTTCTCCTTTTTTCCCTGTAATCTAGATATAAAATTGTCTTTGTCCGTGTAGTTGAAGTAATTATTATTATGGCCGGTCGTGACGTACCGCCGGTTG